TTTAACAACAACAACAACAACAACAACAACAACAACAACAACAACAACAACAACAACAACAACACCACTTTTACATCACTCGAGGGAGATTCCAAAAGCGACAGATGCTGAGCAACAGTCTTTCCTGGCATCACTGAAATCTACTGGAAGGAAGTGTGCAATATTGACAATCTCAGCTCCACACAATGCCGATTTTGTCCCAAAAGTGACTTTGTCAACATTTCCTAAGCCGCTTTCTAGTTTAAAAAGTGAGAACTGCCTAGAAATGGACCATAAAGCTCTTACAGAACATTGCCAAGGAATCAATGTAGCTATCACCAAGCCGGAAGCGGATGTCATTGAGAAGGCCACAAAAACACAGGCCAAATCTAAACTCTGGTATCGATACAGAGCTGGGCGGATTACAGCATCTCGTGTGAAGGCAGCATGTTCAACAAGTGCAACTAAACCATCACTTAGCTTGATTAAAGCTATTTGTTACCCAGAAGCCACAACATGTAAAACTGCAGCTACTGAATGGGGATGTAATCACGAGAAATCAGCAAGTGAAGATTACATTACAATTATGAATCAACATGACAGTTTCATTTGCCAGGACTCTGGGCTTGTGTTATCGCCAACATTTCCATATTTAGGTGCTACTCCAGATGGTGTTGTGTCCTGCAAGTGCTGTGGTGTAGGTGTTTTGGAAATGAAATGCCCTTACTGTGTTGCTGTACCGTCAGACCATACATGTCTGGAATCACGTGATGGACAGGACAGGCTGAAGAAGACCCATGCCTATTTCTATCAAGTGCAGACTCAGTTATTTCTATGTGATGTTGAATATGCTGACTTTGTTCTGTGGGTGAATGGAAAGATTCATCTTGAACGCATAACCCCAGATATTGACTTTTGGGAGAAGGTATACCCCAAAGCTCATGAATTCTTTCAGAAGGTAATTCTCCTCGAGTTGAGTGGGCAATTCTTCACCAGAATTTCCAATGCAACTACACCAGTCTCCATTACTGCACCAAAAAGGCCTCTCTGCCTGATACCAGACCCTGCTCTATGTGCCACTCTGACTCAGCCAACCCAACCACTGATACCCAAGTGATGCCTTTGTCGTGGAGAGGAAAAGCTTCCCATGATAGGATGTGATAACACAAATTGTGAAACTACCTGATTTCATTTTGAATGTGTTGGTATAACAGTTGCCCCCAAAGGAAGCTGGTATTGTGACAAATGTCATCAGCATGTCCCCTCTCAAAAGAAACAGAAGTATTAATCAATCTGAATGACAGTGTATATATTTATTTGATTGAACATGTTTCTTTTACATCAAATCTATATAAAGAACATGTAAGTGTAACAATCAAAAAAGGTTGTGCACACTGAAATGACACAAAAAGCATCATTATTTAAACTGACACTGAAAGAGCAAAATCTCAGCTCAAATATCCAAAACTCTAAACACATGTTCAGCTCTGCACCCAATTTGCAATTCAACTTTCCACTTTTTGAAAAGTATAACAACAGTATATTTGTGTTTCTGCACATATTTTGGAGACTTGAACAATCTTTATTTGAAGAATTCTCTATATAAAACGCCATAAAAGATGAGTGTGCTTAAGCACGATGGTGTGTAGTTGGTTTTACAAAATGTCTTGTGCTATAAATGAAGTGTGTGCCATTTGGTGCAAAAGTTTGGTTTTGGTAAGTGTTTCTGTAGTTGCAGAGCTTCATTCTGCAGTATATATCAGGTGTTTTGCACTTTGTGTGTATGGTTTTGTGAATGTGTTTTGAGAAAATAAGTGTTTTAGCAAAAATGTGTTTTAGCATTGAAAAAAACTGTAATATGGACACAATGTTAATCTATCTCTGTTATGTGAGGTGATCTCTGCAGCTTACAGTTAAAGGAGCATGCACTTGTTTTTCACCCTTTTTCAATGGGTAAATTGGAAACCTGTAATAAATATAATACTTTGCCCTTTCAATTGTTTTTTTCAAAATGTATTTACCCAAGCTTGAATATTCTACCAGTACTATTACAGTGCGCAGTGCAGGTCTGAAACCACATTCAAGCAATTTGGGATGTGTCCAATCTGACAATAGAAAACTTGAGAGAAAGACATTAATCTTCCATGCCTGAAAACAGCTTAAATAATGTTTCAAACATTCCCCTACACAACCAATCCCCAAATCACTTTTCTGATTATCAAGGCATTTAATTGACCAAGTACAACATTGACAATAATGTAATAATAATAATAATTACAATACAAACATGTAATATTTTTAAATCTGATATGGGTTGATTGGGATGTAACAGAATGTAAAGGCTCAATCAACGGGTATTACAGTGTCACACAAATTATTCAGGTCGCAGCACGCTTCAGCTATTTTATCCATCAATGTAATCCCATCTACATCTTTAGAAAGTAAAAAATCTATAGGAATTGGTCCTCCCAAAATGGTATATCGCTGCCTTACACATCCTATGACACGCTCAACATGAATTCGCACGTTAGCAATTTTCCTTGTGTCAATAACATCTTTCATTGATAATTGTTTCCGGCCTTTCATGAATGCAGGCACCTTAACCTCAGCACACATGAAACCCACTGAGTCACTTATATTGAAACCTCGGTCTGCCAAAATCAAATCACCAGGCAAAATGTTATCTAAGAAGCCATCATTTTCTGTAATATGCTTATCACTGGACCTGCCACCCCATGCCCTTGAAATGAATGATATAACACCCTGCGGACAGACTCCTATGAGAAATTGTATGGTGTTGTGATGTTTGTAGTTTGACCAAGTCTGAGCCCGTGCCATTACATTTGATGGCCTGTCAATGAAAACTTCGAAGCAGTCTATTATAACAGCCACTTTAGTACCAAAATGAGTGCGGAAATCCATAGGCATTGTCAGTTGGAGTTCCTCCCGAGATGGCCACTTCAAAAGGAAACTCATACGTTTGAACATGACGTCGATAATCAAGGTAAACACACAGGATACTGTAGACGTGGATGTGTTGAATTTATAAGCCAGCTCTTGCAGGGCTTGGTTTAATCTTAATTTCATTAGTGTCAGTATAAACTGTGGAAATGTAGACAGTGAACTCTTACCCCCAAAACACACCAGGAGCGTCTGCGTCGCGTTACGGCCGCGCCGCGGTGGTCGTAAGGATCGCGGCCACTCTAGTCAATGGGTGCTATTACACCACACGCGCCGTGTTACGGCTCAGACGCGTCCCAGAAGCGGCTCGGCGCAGCGCTTCTCTAAAATTAGGATGAATCTTATTTTTGCCGCGGCGCAGCCGTAAGGTAAAGTCGGGCAGGCAGCCCCCCCCTCGCAGGAAGTGGAAAGGTGAGCATCCGGGCCAGGCCCATCCCCCACATATACTAATTTAGCAGACCCCACAACACCTCCACTACGAAACACACCATGGACAACGAGGTGTTAATAATGGAAGTGGAGAAACACACAATTTTATATGATGTAACCAATGCTTTTTACAAGGACAACATCAGAAAGGACAAGGCCTGGTTTTTAGTCGCTGCAGTTTGTGGAGTGGAAGGTAACAACTACATATTAATGTTTTAAAGTTAATTAATACTTGTAGGTACAGTACAGAGCCATTCAGTAGTTTAACATCTTGTGAAAGTCGTTAAAAAACTGTTCAGTAAACTTGCATTTCACAATAAAGTAAGATCTTATTTCCTATATCAAGATTATTATATTATTATTATTTTGTATTTATATTTTTATAAATATTGGTTTTTTAACTATACTTTATCTTGTGAATTTCGCCCAGGGATCAATACAGTTGTGTTTAACTCTTTATAATGATATTATATTTTTGTATTATAATTTGTTTTTATTCATGTGTTATAACAACTACCCAAAATACTCTCAATAATGTTTAAATACAGTATGCTGTGGTGGAAAACCTTGCATTTATAGTCAGATAAATTGTGAGGACAGACAAGAATAATTTGGCAGTCATTTGTCAGACAAAACTATTTATTATAAATTGTATTACATACACAGAAAAAATATGTGAAATCATGTTATTAATCTGAATCTATTCTTTGTTTCAGTCGACATTTGCAAGGCACGATGGAAGTCACTCCGGGATGCTTTTGTTAAAAACAGGAAGAAATCTCTCCCAAGTGGATCTGCAGGTGGCACGCAAAAGGGCTGGAAGTATACAGACCTAATGTCCTTCCTTTTGCCCTATGTACAGCAAAGGAGGTATGTATGCACATATTTTAATTTATATAATTTTGTAATTTGTGATGATGTATTGCAAAGGGTATGAAATACTTTATTTTAAATTACATAAATATGTTCCTATTGCATAAATTAATCCCCAGAAAAAAGGTTTTAATTGTTTTCATGTTGTTGTTTCTTTTAATATAGTTCTACAAGCAGCTTGAGCAATCCTTCCTCTGTAGAAGACATGGAGAGAGCATCTACACCCCTGTCATTGGAAACAGAGGAACATGCCAGGACAGCATGTGGATCTCCAGCCCCACCACCTACAGCCCCACCACCTCTGGTACCCACAACCTCTGCAGAGAGGCAAAGGCCCTCTAGGTCCCGTAGCCCCAGGGATCCCATTTCCACACCAGCAGCAGCCCAGCGTTCCACACGGGACACAAGGAGGAGGCCACAGAGCACAGACCTTGGAGAGCAGCTGATACATCTACTGCAGGAACCTCCAACTGCACCACACATGCCAGACTCAGAATTAGAGGAGTCATACTACTTTGCTCTCAGTCTTGTGCCCTTGATGCAAAGACTGGACAAAGACAGAAAACATCAGGTGCCATCACAAGTGCCATTGTACAATAATTAATCAAATATAGGGCTACTACATTTTCATTTGTAATATTTTTTTACATCATTGAAAAAAAAACTACCCAGAGTATAACCTTGTATTTATAGTCAGATAAATTGTGAGGACAGACAAGAATAATTTGGCAGTCATTTCTCAGACAAAACTATTTATTATGAAATGTATTATAAAATAAATACATAATAACATAGGATAGAAAAAATAAAGAACAGTTTTTTCCAAATGCAACAATAACCTGTCTTTGGGAGTACAACAACTAACTTTTTTAAATTCTCTGGAATGAAAAAACACATCTTTCAATCATTTTAGTATCTTTTGTGTGTTCCAGTAATCACACCATCCTGTCCTGCCAAGACACACTGACCTCAGGAGAGTTGAAGAAGGTGCAGAAAGCCTTCCTCACATTACAGGCCTCTCTTGATGCCCTGTTTCCTCCCATGTTTCTCAATGGTGCCATGTGTCTTCCCTGCTGCTCTTCCTCATCCAGCAACCTCTGGTTTTCACTAGGGGCCAGCAGGAAGTTGTGAAGGATGCATGCAGCCACCACAAGCTTGTCCACGTTTTTCGGGTGCAGGTTGATGCGACGATGGAAGATTCTCCACCTGGAGGCCAGAATGCCAAAAGCATTTTCCACCACCATCCTTGCTCTGGAAAGTCTGTAATTTAAAATCCTCTTTTGTTGAGTGAGGTTCTTTCCAGGGTATGGTCTCATCAGGTATGGCTTGAGTGGGAAAGCTGCGTCACCCACCATGACGAATGGCATCTCACCCAGGTGAGCAGCACCAGGTAGAGAGGTACTGGTTGGAACATGAAGTGTTCTGGCCTCCAGTCCTTTCCCCAAATCCGATCCGGCATACACCCCACCATCACTTGTTCTTCCGAAGTCCCCCACTTGAATTACTCGGAACCTGTAGTCAGCATCAACAAGTGCCAAAAGCACTATGGAAAATGTCTTCTTGTTGTTGAAGTACTGACTCCCAGACAGTGGTGGTGCTTGGATGACGATGTGCTTTCCGTCTATTGCTCCCAAGCAATTTGGGAAATTCCATTTTTCCCAGAATCCTTGTGCAACCTCCTTCCACGTGTCTTCTGTTGGCCTGGGTAGGAACCTCTCCATCATAATTTTTTCAATGGCTGCACACACCATATGGATAGCTTCTCTCACAGTACTGCATCCTAGGCGATAGCTGAATGCTAGGCTGACCAGTGAGTCCCCGGAAGCCAAGTATCTGTGAAGGGAAAAACAAGCAAAGAATTAATAAGTGAAATCATTTTATTAATCGGAATCTATTCTTTTTTGCAAGGCGAAATGGAAGTCACTGAGGGATGCTTTCGTCAAAAACCGGAAGAAGTCCATCCCAAGTGGATCTGCAGGTGGCTCGCAGAAGGCCTGGAAGTATTCAGAGATAATGTCCTTCATTTTGCCATATATACAGCAAAGGAGGTATGTATGCACATTTTTTTATTTATATAATTTTGTAACTTTGTAATTTGTCATGATGTATTGCAAAGGGTATGAAAGAGTTTATTTTAAATTACATACATATGTTCATATTGCATAAATTAATCCCAGGAAAAAATATTTTAATTGATTTCATGTTGTTGTTTCTTTTAATATAGTTCTACAAGCAGCTTGGGAAATCCTTCCCCATTAGAAGAGATAGAGAGAGCATCTACACCAGGAGCAGCATCTGGATATTCAGGCCCACGCACACCACCTACAGCCCCACCACCTCTGGTACCCACAACCTCTGCAGAGAGGAGGCCCTCTAGGTCCCGTAGCCCCCAGGGATCCACACCAGCAGCGGCGGCCCAGCGTTCCACAAAGAGGAGGCCACAGAGCACAGACCTTGGGGAGCAACTAATGCAGGAACCTCCAGCCACACCACATATGCCAGACTCACCACTTGAAGAGTCATACTACTTTGCTCTGTCTGGTGCCTCTGCTACAAAGGCTGGACATAGACAGGAAACATCGGGCAAAAATAGCTATTTTAAACACCTTCCATAGTCTTCAAAGAGAGAGTACAAAACCACAGGAACATTGGCAGCCAATTGTCCATCCCCCCACGTCACAACACTCCACTCACACCTCCAGGCCAGTAGCCCTTCGGCCAACTCCACCCCAACCCCCACAAGCCCAATCAACAGGGCCATTCGCAAACATGCTGTTCTCCAACAGTGGCTCTGCATGGCAGGATGGGTCTCAATATGAAGACTTGTAATTCATATTGTTTTTACTGTAAATAGTTCCTTTTTTTGTGTTGATTTGCTGTTATTTGTGTTTAAAATGTTGTTTTGGGTGATATGTTTCTAATTAAAACGTTTATTATACTTGTGGTCAGTGATTTATTGTCTGTGAAATGGGCATCTTACCTCAGTGCAACAGCCAGTCTCTGCTTGGGTTCTATGGCAGCTCTGAAATTTGTGGATTGTCTGGTCAGTTCAGGGCCCAGGAGGGACAGAAGTTCATCCATCTGCTCTGCACTCATCCGAAAATATTGGTGATGTCGTTGGCTGTCCAGCCTCAGCTCAGCCACGAGGTGATGAAAATCACCTTGTTGTCTCCTTTGCTGGTTGAGGGGGTGCATCCATAACCGGCTCCTTCTCCTCCCCCCATCCCCCCGTAGTCTTTCAAGTAGGAGAATACATGCCAGCGTTCTCCTCCGGTTTACAGGCACTGTAAATGATATATATATAGAATAATTATGATGATGAATGCATATTTTTTACCAGTAAAATACAGCAACACATCTTTGATTCATGTCGTTTATAACTGGAATATTACAATTATTATTAACTGTGTCTGTAGTCTACAACACAACAAAATAGGATATAACAACAATAAACACGATTTAAACAGACACAAACATAAACCATTTAACTACGTATAGCCTACTTACTTGTAGAAGTACAAATGTCCAGGAAATATTCCAAAATCAACAACAACTGCGAGGCTGCACACACGACGCTCCGCTTCCGCAACGTTTTGAAATGCGTCTGGTGTGTGTTGTCGCAGGAGGAGGTCGCAGCCACAATGTAACGCGGCGCAGACGCTCCTGGTGTGTTTTGGGGGTTAGCGTTCACACTGATGTGCAGTTCCACAAGATTGTATACCATCATTAGAATGGCAAAAGTAGGAAGTCCCGTGTAGAACACGGTCATCATCGCCCTTAAATGTACTCTCTGAAATTGTGGACTTTACAAGCTTTTCTTTTAAGTTAACATTTTCTATTGTTACATTATTCATTTCAAATGACATTTTGTCAATCATTTCACCAGTCAAATCAGTCTGAGTTGCAGTGCCAGTATCTGGTTCAATCACTCCTTCTTCTTCCCCAGTGGCTCCCAGGACTGGTGCGGGCTCTTCTGGAGATGGTATATCAGATACCATGCAGAGATCAAGTAGTGCGATGGATGACCTTTTTCTGGCGCGTTTATACCTGGCATGTGTAGCAGGGGAAGGTGCTGTAATTTTCTCGTGTCCCAATTTGACAGACCAGTCAGGATGATTTTTGTCAAAAAGTGCCACTGATTTACCTGCAAATAAATCAGATTGTAGGTCAGTTATATCCTGGGTGAACTGTTAATTAATACAAATGTGACCTCTTTTGACAGGCGAAGTCAGACTTTAGATATATTTAAAATGCTGGTGTCAAGACATTGAGGAAACCAAAAGCCTCTGAAAAGGTGCCAGGGACTGTACAGCCTTCACTGTTTACATATAATCAAATGGCCAGTAGGGGGAGGAATTACTTTAAATTACAGTTAAACGAAGCACTGCAGGGGATTGACAGACTGGTGTGAAGATGACCTGAGCCAAGGAATGACTTTACTTTGTAGATACTCCACAATCTGATATGTCGATCGATGACACAGACTCCAGGATTCCTATTTCCTTGTTAAGATACATGTCTTAGTATGTGGGTTGTATGTTGATTTTGAATGTTTGTATGTAAAACCTGACACTTACCTGACGTGAAATGATCCCCACAAACGCGAGTATAGTTGTGGTTGGATGGTTTGAGATCCTCCCGTCCGATCCTATTGAGCCATTTTTCCCGTCGACGCTTTGAAAGTTCATGTGTTGCTTCACCCTGGTGTGTTATAACCGCCGGCAGCCTGTAAAATGACTTCGGCCCCCTGTTTCGATCACCTCTGTTGCCGCAGCCAACAATAGCACAGAAGTTAAGCATTACCCGTGACGTCATATGCAAAGCTTCTATACAAATATTCAAGTGTCCCAGTCCTTGACTTTTCCTGAAAGTGTGTTATGTAGCACACTGTTGTTAAAAATGGTCAATATGAAGTCAGATTGAAAAAATCGCCCAAAAAATGCCATTTATACCCATATCCGCCGGCGGGTAGTATTTACCTCATAGAAAATGCAGCGTAAACATGACGTGTTGCTATAGCAACGCCTTTTGTCTACTGCGGTTCCTTATAGATAGAGAGATAGAGAGAGAGATAGATAGTTGTAGATAGATAGAGAGATTTGTACCTAAACAAAACACAAGTCTAACACCAAGCGTTTAAATCAGCACTGGTAGCGATATGTTATACTTCATGCTATCTGCACAAACTATATCATATGAAAAGCTGAGAGTCCACAGATTCTATTGGTATAAATTTCATCCCTGTGTGATCAAAACTCACTGTTCTGTATTATAAATAAAAGAACATTGTACCTTGAAATTCAATAGCGGGTACATTTTACCTGTTGGCGGTTTTAGGTATACAGCGACCTCTGGCGGTTCTAGTGTTAAAAGTGATTCTTGCAGTGACAACTGAAAATAGCAAGCTTCTACAGTTGCACTAAGTTTTTATAACAGTTAAATATTATTTTAATAATACATTTATTTTAATGTTGATGAATTTAGAACGGTTTATTCATAACCTGAATATCTTAGTAGTACACTGTTGAATTTAAAAAACACATTAAAATAAAAAAATCATTATATCTATAGCCCCTGAATAAACAAACACACCTCTTTCTTAAATAACACACTTGCTCTGCAATAATATGTTTTACGTTTCTTGATATTTCTGTTAGGAAAGGACATGCCTGAGAGACACGACTGCCTCACCATTTTCTCTTTCTCTGAGGGTCCAGAAGAACATCCAAGAGGGAAAGGAAAAGCTGATGTTAGGAGATTTAAGACCAGTACAAGACATTCACTAAGATACACTTGTATTGTAACAGAAAGACCTGCACACTGAATAGTTTTGTAGTCCAACAGGAACTTAATTTGTGTGTTGTGTTTTACGTTGCACCTCAGAGACTGTGTGATTATTGTCAGGCCTATGAAGTTATGCAGAAAAAAAAAGTGCTTTGGACAATAAGAAATATAACGTTTTTTTAGATTGAAAATGCTATTACTGTATTACTAATATCTCACATCTGAGGGTTTAATCAAAAAAAGAAAAGAAGAGGCACCCTAAAATAAAGATTGGTCTTTAAATACATTTAGTTGATTTTGTCTTTTGAATTGTTTGTCTAAAACATCACTTTAAGTCAGTCTATTATTTTCGGGAGTGACAGGGAATGTCTCAAAGATACGTCAATCAAGTGGCACCTGCTAACGGGGTGGTGGATGATAGGCTTGCATCTAAAAACGTTAAAAAAAACATCATTATTTTTGTTTTTTACTTTTCTTTGTTTTGTTACTTTTTTTTTAACAGTGCGTGCTATACACCACACTCGGTCACGATGGACTGGTTGGTGACCACTGATCTATGGCATAGACTTGGTGTGTGTGATTGACAACATGGAATTGCCCACATTGAGTATTGTCTTGCTGATCACAAAGTTTACAAAGTATTGGTACTGAGATAGAAATGTACGTATGTTGTCTGCGAGTGGTCAGTGATAGCCAACTCAATAAACCCCTATAGAATGCAACGGTGAGTAGGGACTTTAAGTGATGATAATAAAATATATGTATATGTCTACTACTGTCTTTCACAGAACTGTCTAATTTATCTAGAACATTTTGTATTTAGTATTCTCTGAGGTTGGTATACTTGCTGCTGTTTATTGTTTTCATTTTATTACGTTTATACCGTTTTTTCCAACTTGAACGTTTTTTTTTAAGCCTCAACACACTGCTGCTACTGTAACTAAATAATTTCCCAATTTGGGATCAATAAATTATCTACTGTATCCATCTATCTATCCATCCGTCCGTCTGTCTATCTAAAATAAAGTTACACATGCTATTTTGAGTGCACAAGTGCTTACCAGTGCTAATGATGGCATAACGCTGGGAACTTCTTCCCCCCAACAACTGCCATCTTGTCTACGTAACGGAAGTTGCTGAACCAGCTGCAATTCTGTTAACCACACCACTATACAAATAACAACAATACATGTGTTTTTTGCTTTCTGTAAACATTTACGCTGATGGCTAGCTAGCGGCAATCTTCACTTGGGGAGACGAATGGTGAGGGCACAGCAGCCTCTGAGAGCAAATATAGAAAACTCTACACAGTTGGAATTTAAACAGTGCTTAAGTGTTCATGAAAGTGTACTAAGGGAAGTATCCAACATTGAGACACATCATCTGTAAAATGGAGGAGGCTGCCTGCATTGAAGAATGATGGGCAGCAACAGAGAGCTGCTGCTGGACAGGCAGAAAATCCCGCTGTCATTGAGATGTTACAGCGTCCTCGGCTTTGCTGTCGCTCACATCCATTACCTGGATCTCACATCACAACACACTGTGGGTCTGAGCCTCAGTAAGCTCCCAGGGATCATCATTCATCTGCTGCCCAGCCTGCACACTCTTCACACAGACTCAGCCTGCAGCACTGTGTGTGTGTGTGTGTGTGTGTGTGTGTGTGTGTGTGTGTGTGTGTGTGTGTGTGTGTGTGTGTGTGTGTGTGTGTGTGTGTGTGTGTGTGTGTGGAAGGGAAATACATTTAGCTGAATCCAATACTGTAGATGTATGTAGTGTTAGGGACACTACATCACAGTAATGCTGCTTACACACACACAAATCGTTGCGGGTCTTTCTCCCCTCGGTTTATTTCTTATTCGTCCTCTCAACCTCTCCTTGCTCCATACCATGTCAGTTCAATTCACACTATATTAGTGTGAATACATTTCAGTTTATTCAACTAATAAGGAAACCAATAATGATTGATAGTGATGCTTAAAACATTGAGTTGCACATAAGTTGTGAACAGTTCATCCAGAGTAACCTTCTCTTCTCAGATTTTTCAATTTTTATAATTCTTAAAGGCCTGAAGAGTTGAAAATGTACCAACAATGTATTTTTAGACCAAATGTGTTGGTACATCTGTAATAATTACTGTATGGATATGGTAAAAGCATTATCAGCCTTACATGAGTAATAATAGCATTGGTACCAATACCAAGTTTGTAGCATTGGTAGTTAAAAAGTAAATCTGTGGTGAGGATTGAGACCACTGTTAGAGTTGAACTGGTGACTTTCATGGTTGCTTTAGGAAACTAACATTAATGTTTGGCTAGATAATAAACACAGTTATTATGAAAGTAAAATCAAAGCCTTTGTTGGTGTTTTCAACTGCAGCCGTCATAGTAAACACAATCACTCAAAAAACGTAAGCACAGTTTAGTGTTTTTGTTTCATTCTGACAATGAAGCATTTACTGCGAATAAATGCCAAGTTTCAGGAAGTATAGGTCCTTTTAGGTTTTGATTATAGAATTATATAATAGTTGTAATGCATCAGAGAATGGGCCCTATCAGGCTACATCAGGAAAAGCCAGAGAAAAAGATTTGTCGAAAAATAATCTTATTTTGGCATGTGTTTTGGGGCACTTGCAAAATTGAGTGATGCTGTCATTTTTCTTGGAAGGAAAGTCTCTGATTAACCAGTTAAGCCCTGAGCCTGTTTTTCAGGCCTCAGGCTCGAAAATGACATTCCCAGAACAAATGACTATAGCTTCACTTCTAAAAGGGGTACATTAATAATCTTTTTTCTCAAAGCAATGATAAACCTGTGAGTTGGATGTAGAAAAGTCAGAATCAATATAGATTTATTTTTATTTTAAAGTGGACCTATCATGTTATATTTGACAAATATATTGCAGGGCCATACCTATAAAAAACATGTCTGTGAAGTTTTTTTTTCAAAATACCAAACAGATCATGAATTTTAGCCATGCCTCATTTCGCTCTATTTTCTCTTTTCCAGCCCTGTTTTTGCAGGGGCTGATTCTGTGATGTAGCTTTAGTGCAAATGAGCTGCAGCTGACCACGCCCCCCGGCAGGAGAGGGGAGTGTAATCTGAGATCAGCTGTGCTGGGCTCTCAGAAGAGGGGGAGGAAAAGAGAGGCTTTGTCCTCCGTGTTTTATTCTTATATGATTATATATAGTCGTTATTAATTTGTTTTAAAGCTCAATAAATAACAAAGAAGACCTTTGATCTGCACTTTTCAAATGTTGTCCGGAAGATTTAAACTTTAACGGACATGATCGGCGGAAAAAAAATCTAACTGAAACTCTGCCGCACTCTGCTCGTTCCTTTGGAAGAGGCGGAGAGGTGGGTGTTTGTCATCTGCTGGTGGCAAACCGGAGAGAATTACAGCGAGGGAGGGATTGCATTGAATAACAGCAGCAGGAGCAAACGCTTGCCTCGGGGAGGGAGAAAAAGAGCCACAGCGGAGAATAAACAGAAGGGCAACCACAGTTAGCTGAGTTTCTTCCCGTTAAGTGGGCATGACACATTAATTAAACGTATGTGAAAGTTATGAAATATCTTGAATCACAACATTTAGTCTATTTTCTATTACTTTTCGAAATGTCGCTATTTAATTTATTATTTATTTATGTAAATATTCCCTATCATGTCTATTTAAGTCCCATTTCTTGTTTTTATAGTGTCTTGTTGTTTTTATATTGTCTTGTTGTTTTCATATTGTCTTGTTGTTGCGTGTTGGCACCTTGAGTTCATTGTAATTTCGTTCCTGTACAATGACAAATTAAATATCTATCTATGATAGCATCCTATCCTCTGATGCATTACTACCAGTGGCGGCGCCAGGGTATGGCTGGGGTAGGCTACAGCCATACCAAGAAATGGCTTAGCCCTACCTTAGCCCCACCATGAAACAGTATGTTAAAGTAAGCATGTTGAGAACACGGATTGCGAAAATCTACCGGTCGTGTCCACAACACACAAACTGAT